TTTAAATAAATAATTTTATTTGTAATATCCCGATGAGTAGACAAATTAGATTTTCTGACATTTCGTAACTTAATGTAAGCCACTTCTTTAGAGCATAAATAACCAAATGAAAATTAGCTCAAGTTTAATTCGTACAACGGAACAACAATAAATGAAACATTTATTATATAGTTTTCAGATTTTAATAAGATATTCTGCAATTTTGTGTTCGAATACATCCAATTATCCTCATTTGTGTTCTTGTTCACCACAATTTTTATCGTTCCAAAATCTTTTTCCAATCAAATTCCTCATTACTTACTTACTTACGTCTGTTACTCCTCGTGAAGGAGTATAGGCCACTCATCAGCATTCTCCACTCAACCCTGTCCTGGGCAATAATTTTCAGCTCCTTCCAGTTCCTATTCATCCTTTTCATATCTGGTTATATTATCCGACGTAATGTGTTCTTTGACCTTCCTCTTTTCCGCTTCTCTTCAGGATTTCAAGTTAGTGCTTGCCTCGTGATGCAATTTGATGATTTGCGTAATGTGCATCCTATCTATTTCCATCGTTTTTTGCTAATTTCTTCTTCAGCTGGAAGCTGATTTGTTCTCTCTCAGAGAAGGCTCTTGCTGATGGTATCCGGCCAATGGAAATTCCTCATACTAACACTAAAAGGTGGAAGACAAAAAGGAAGCTCCAAGTTATTATAAACAATCATATACTTTCATTTTTTACAATCTTTCTTTTTATCTGACTTCAAAAAGAGAAAAGAAAACAAGATAAAATCTGTGGTTATTAATGGCTTCATTTCAAAATTGATTCATGTTTCATCTTTCATCTTTCAATGAAACCAATAAAATAAATACTTAATTTATACTGATAGAAATCACTGTTGAAAATATGTGATAAATATGGTGGAATAAATGAATGTACTTACACCTGAATGTTTGTATGTTCAACAAATAATTAAAAGAAAACTATTCTATAAACTATAAATTAAGTTGAAAGAAAATAAACATTATATCAATAAGTGTTCCACATTATTTATTTGTTTACTTTGTTCAAATGATTAATGACTTATTGACTTCATAGTTTACTGACAATAACAACATACACCGACATATTTGTAAACATTGGAAAACCTACATTTGTATATATATATATAATTATTACATAGGGTTATATAGTCACTAATCACTCAAGTTATTTGTTTAATTTCAACTACATTTGAGTGGTGTAAATTTGATTTTAATTTAGATTAATTTTTGACTAGTAGTATGGAGTGAAAATTCAATACTGTGAATTATTAGTTAGTTTCTTTCTATAAGAACAAGGTTCAGTTCAGTTTTTTTAAAAATCTGATCAATAGTTTGAAGAACTAACAAACAAACCACTTAACTATAAAAACTTATTTTCTAGAAAGAAAAATTAAAAAGACAAGAGTTCTTATTACAGGAAATATGTATGGTAGTTGAATGTAGTTGACAAGAAACCCTGAACCTTGGTATTGTGTTAACATTCACTATTACGGAATACCTGTAGTTTTGATTGAACTGCTTCTTCTTGGTGGATTTCAACCTACTTTACTCAGCATCAGACCCTGAAACGTTATAGCTAAACATTTTGGGATTCAACTGACCTCCAGAGATGTTTGCAGTTGGTTGGTTACTATTCAGTAATCAATTAATTGTAAAAAATATAAATACGTGTTATTCAGTTATAGGCGTTTGATTAATGATTAATTGTGCTACTGTAGTTATTTTCAACTATTGGTACAACTTAATTAAGGACTTTTTAGACATATTTCACTTTATTTGGGATTTGCTTTTCTAGTTCAAGTTTCGCTCGATTCGTTCCTTCTTTATTTACCAAATCTCGAAATGGGCATTCCCTAGTTTAACCAAGTAAACTACTGGTAAAATAGTTGAATAGTTAAAAAAAAGGATTTCCAAATCATTCAGCAATGAACTATTTGTCAATTAGATACCTATACATAACAACATTTGATCTATTGCAAAGTTTGTCACATACAATAAGTTTTTTTAAAAACACAATAGGTAAATTTCAACAGATATTACTGATGTAGTATTATAGTTATGTGTTGTTTTTGGGTCACCTAAACTACAAGTGCTCCAGATCATACTTCATTTAAAATCACTTCTTTCGTGATGATAGGAATGAGAAAAATATCAATGTAACTGGTAAAAATTCTTAATAAGACAACTGAACACGATATATTTTCCTTAACTAGTACTTTACTGAATGTTTACCGTCTAGTTCAGTGAATTGTGAGCATCGATTCATCCCATTTTCCTTGTTTTTATATTTCAAAAAACATACTTTACGTAATTGTGTTGGTCATAAAATAATATTTTTAATAAACTATTCCGCCTAACGTTAGATAAATCTAGGTGACACTTTGGGTACAGATCAATTATCATCTCCTGTGAAATCGGTCGTTCGATGTCTGTCGTGATTATCAAAATCATCATAAAAAACAGTATATATTTGTCAATGCATAGCTTTAGAATGAATCTACCGAAAACAATGTTTTTGCTGGATCATATTTTCTGTGTTATGCCTTAATCTGAATACTTTTTTTGTGAGTGATTGTGTTAAGTTTTGCGGTTAAGCTGAGATGTAAATGTAAAATGAATTAGAATACTTTATACATCAAAAATATTACAAAATAAATTTTACATTATAACCTCGAAATACTGACACATCAGATTGTCTTATTTTAAAATTATCATTAGGGTTATGAACGAAATCATCTACATTCTCACCGACTGACTTCAGTCACTATATAGACGACATAATAAATCTCTTAATATAATCATTTCAATTACCACTATAAATTGATAGTCTGATAATTCATACCCAATGTTTGATTCAGTAAATTACATATATTTCACAGAATATAAACAAATGTTCTATGGAATTAACTATCCACTGTCTGGATATCTTATATTATTAATCACATTATGCGACATATTAAAAACTAAAATGACGCCATGTAATTATTTTTGAAAATAGATTTTTTTTCTAATTTTAGGTAATGGTAAAAGTAATTTAATATAATATTCACTTATTGGTTGATTAGAAGATATTTTTAAGAAATTTATGTGGAGTTCAACCAGATCTGTTGTGAGATAGTAACTCACTGATGACAATGGTGGATGTGTCGCTCAATTTCATGGATTAGTTGATGCTAGACATTAACACCGTTGGATGCCGGCTCAGTAGTCTAGTGGTTAAGTGCTCGAGCGCGAAACCAGTAGGTCGTGGGTTCGAATCTCGCAGGGGCGAGGTCGTGAGTGCGCACTGCTGAGGTGTCCCACAATAGGACGAGACGGCTATCCAGTGCTCCCAGGTTTTCCATGGTGGTCTAGCTTCAACTGACTCATGATCTTAACCATTGAAAATCTATGTAAATTTAATTTATCAGTTGGGTTTGAAAATATTAATATTTTTATTTAATAATTGATCCTTAAACACTTCAATGGGTCTTATCCATATGAAATAAAAAAACGAATATTTGGTTCAAATATAGAGTTAGTAATGATCTATGTCTGTTTATATCTTAACAATTATTAGTATCAAAATCCAGCTTATTTTCCTGACTGCTTCTGAGTATTCATTATTCTACATAATGAAGTATGATATCTAGCCAGATGAGTGTCTAGAGATCATTCATTAAGTTGAAAAGTATGATTTAAATTTTACCTATAATAGTTAATAATTTACAAGATGTACGCGTTTTTTTTATAACAACTATGCTACTGTTGAGGATGATAAACGTACATATAAACGGATCATAATTTATTTCAACAGTCAACTATAATGCCACTAAATTGTTTAAAACAAAAAGTTACGTACTTATAAGAAAACAAGATTTAGTGGTTAAGCTGAAATTGAGCAATGAATAACACCTGTACTAATGATAGGGAGTGAAGTAGACGAGCGTGTTGACTATTTCGCTTATCTAGGGAGTCTCATCAACCCTTGTGGTCTGGTGTGTGACGAAACCTCAGTATGGATACAGAATGTTCGACCAGCTTTTGCCAACTTGCGTCATTTATAGCGTAGACGAGATATCCGTCTACCAACCAAAGGACCAAAGCAGTTCGTTCCGTCCTACTTTATGGTAGTGAAACATGACCGGCAAAGGTAGAGGTTATTCGTAGTTTACTAGTATTCGATCATAGGTGTCTTCGAAGCATTGCTCGTATACCGTGGGACCGCCGAGTAACTCATGCAGTCGTTAGGAAACGGGCATTAGGTAAGGATGGCAAATCAATTGATGGAGTAATGAAACTTCATCAGTTGAGATGGCTGGAACATGTGTTACGTATGCCTAACCATCGGCTGTCCCGACGTGCGATGTTTCACGGTGTAAGAGTAGGTTGGAAGAAAGCTAGGGGCAGCCAGACCAAAACATAGCAGAAATCCATGAATTCACTGACAAGTGGACTGAACCATGTTGGTAGGTGTAGACTACCTGGTTGGGGACCGCGAGATGATAGCAGCCGATGGTTAGAGACCTTAAATGATGTGGATCAAAATCGTTTGCAATGGCGCAGGTACACCCACTCTTTTTGTTTTCCCAAATTCTAGTCTTCTGAATTCTCCTTGTCCCTTTTTTTTCTCTTTCCAAAGTTATTTCACTAGATTATACTCCTTGAATAACATCTTCAAACCCTAATCTTTCCGATTACTGCTTATACTCTTACTATCTCTACCACTATGGGATTTGAATCGACAATTGTATCTGTGTGGTAATGTTGTATGGTAACTTGAACTGATGTACGTACATACGAAGTTCTACGTTGTCGCTGAATGACTATATTTTTAATTATTTATCTAAAAAAAATACTTGATCAATACCTTAACTTCTTCAACCATCGTTCATGCAGTAAATATTTGGTCGTGCTTTATTCAGTTACTAATTGATATAATGAATTGTTTTCAAAAAAATTTAAAAAATGTTTATTCTTGTTTATTTCTTAATTTAGATTTTCATTATATCACATGTCAGTCAGATTATTTAACATCAACAAATTTGATACAGCTACATCCTGAAAGTCAATCAGTTACACTCAATAGTACAGTACGGCTACAATGTCGTGTACGTATGCTGATAGATCCAGACACAGGAGCAGGTGTACAAGTTTATTGGTCTAAAAATGATTTTGGTATTGGTGGTAATCGTGAAGATATTCAAGAGTATGGACGTAATTCACGATATGATTACTCTCGCTATGATTTACCATACAACTTGAAGGAAGGTATGTTATTCTCAGTCACTTCACTGTGACATATACATTCACACATATTTTGTTGAATTAATCTGTCTTTTCCAAATGGCAAATGATCGTTATGAGCTGGTAATGGGTATTTTAGGAACTTAACTTATGTGCAAACCGCACCTAATCTAGTTACGTTATAAGGCCATTTTAGTCTACAGTATTCCCTTCTATGTACTTTTATATGTTAGTTCACTCTTAATTCACTATTGATTTGTTTCTTTTGTTTGTATCTTTGTTCTCTCCCGATATGAAATCAGGCCTAATGAGTCTACGCTCATTTTTGGCAGATACAACGTTATTTCTGTTTTTGAGTTTATACTATACTTTATTTAATGAAATGTGATCTTTTGTAGTATAAATAAATAGAAACACAACCAGTTTCTATGATCACAATATCAGCTTTAGAAAAACAAGTTAAATCAATGTTTAGTGGAAGCTTCCGTTTTTAAACTTTCTTTGTAATTGTTAACATCCATTTAATTATTGAACAAAATGTTTTTTTCATACTGACAAATATTTTAGTGCTGATTTTTACAAATTTAAGTCAGAGTTTTGATTTGATTCATATCGAATTGAATTTGTGTACAACTAAACTATCTCAAACAATGATCGTAAAGCTGTTCATTAACTTCTGATTCCAATGGTTCTATAATTGAAGTCAGTTTTCAATATAAAATTATTTTCATAACTTTATATATTCTTCTATTATCTCTTTTTCCTTCAAGAGTTAAGGCTTTTTGCTAAATCTATTCTAAGACTTGGTTTATTCAACAAGAGAGTTGTATTGAATTCATTTTCAATGACACTATATTCTATTACTCTTATACCCTATATCAATAAAGAGAAACAATAGATATACAAAAACAAGAGAATAAACGTGTTAAACGCTTTTCCTCTATTTTTTTTATTTACCCTAAAACATATTTGAATTTTATTTTCATCACCTTTGTTATTTCATATATCACAGTTAGAATACATCAGAGGACAGGAAATCCGACTCTCGCTAACTTTTTCAGAAAAAAAACTTTTTTATTATTATTTCATTTTACCCGAATCGAATTCTTACAAGATTACTACTTATATAATTATGTATTTATGTTAAGGATAGTAGTTGTTAACGATTTTTTATCTTTATCTTATCAATATACGCTTCAAAAAAGGAAGTCATTAATGTTTTAATTATAAGTCAAACATATATATATATATATATATGTTAACGAAATTCCATGGATGGATATATCTAGTTATTTTCGTAAGACTTTGCGATCCTCTTAGGAGCTATATGTTCAGATTTAGTAAACTTAAGAATTCTAAGATAGTAAATAACAATAATGTATCTTTTATAAAATCCCATATACTTTAATCTGATATATAAACGTTTGGATGTTTATTGTAATGAATGATATTTGAACTTTAATGTAATGTAACATAGCACTATTGTATTCTCAATATTCAACAAATTCAATTAATGAAGTAAATTAAAACTATGATACCATTTTAAATGGTATTTATTGATTTAAGTTAATCATAATAAACTTTCTTCATTAATGTGTTCTCTTTGTTAGTAAATGTTTGAAATCTCTCAGAAAGTCATTTCTGTCTTGAAGAATTCAATTGGCTTAAACAAGATATATGATCAAATAGTGTACAAATTAGTTGTCGGATGTAAAATAGAGGGAATAAAATAGAGTACAGTATATTCTTACATCTAAATAATGAAAACGTTAATATTGTAACTCTTAAAACACTTGAACTTTGATCATCGGACAAACTAGAGGATGAAGTTACAATTTAGGTATTTACTGTAAGTTTATTTATGTGTTTAAATATAGCTTTAAGCTTTACAAGTACACATGTTAAAACTAATCATATATTATCCATAGGTTTAGTTACTTTAGAAAGTATATAGATAAATTGTATTAACATTATTTCCGCAGTTAAATGGCTAGGGGAGTTTATTTACTTTCATAGTTTGTATAGATTACCAAAATATGATTTTAGTAGTATTCACCAATTAGAAGGATAGGATGTTAGAAAATCACTGATTTGTTCTGTTTGGGACAAGTACATTAACTTTTGCTAATTACTCTGATAGTTAGAACACAAGAGTTTTGTGGACTCTACGGCGGCCTGCTTGAATATCTGGGCTACCTGTTTCTGCCATCTGATTATTTCAACAAGTTATCAGTTTTTATTTGTTTTAATTTATAATTATGTCCATTAATCGCATAACCTATTCAGGCGCTTTTATGAAAACCTTACGACCTTTCGCTGCACAAGTTAAGAAAAAGTACTATAAAAGGCATCGTGGTGGTTGGCAATATGCGTTAAAGAGAATGAACATTAATCGTATGTCAATTCCCGAGCTTCTTAATTCTAACTGCCGATCATTAATCAACAAAGTGGACTATCTGCAATTCCTGCTTAGTCAAAATACGTATCGTAATTGTGGTGTCATCACAATTCAAGAATCTTGGTTGAATGATTTACAAGATGACTGTCTTGTATCACTACATGATTTCAAAATTTATCGTCAGGATCGATCGAACAATAAAAAAAGGTGTGGTGGCGGTGTAGCTACGTTTGTAAACATAAACTGGTGTCGATCTTCGTCTGTGTGTTTTAAGTTTTCAAATGACTTTATCGACTGTCTAACTCTAAGATGTCGTCCAAAATATCTGAATAAATACAAATATGTTTATGTTACCAATATCTATGTCACTCCAGATTGCACATCATCTGCACTATCTGTTTTTGCTGATGAATTCACTGAGTTCGCTGTTACTGCCTTCAGTGATTCACTTTCAATTGTATGCGGTGATTTCAATTCATGTGACTGTAGCTTCCTCACGTCACTAGGTCACCAAAACGTAGTAGATTTCCCTACTCGTTTGGATGCTCATTTAGACTTCGTTTTCATTAATGATGTGGGTATATATGCGACTCGTAAACGTGCTCCATTGTCTAGCTCAGATCACTGTTTAATTCGTGTTCTACCTAAAGTATATGGAAAGCATGGGAAGAGTACACTCTTACATCAAACCAAGAAAGTCAAATATAGGAATTACTCAGAAGAAAATATCCGAAATCTAAAAAACATGTTTCATACGACTAACTGGGAATTATTTACAGATGACTCACTCGAAAACACTACTGATGTTATCACTTGTTACCTTAAATTCTGTTTTGATATTTGTTGTCCCACTGAAACCATTTTTGTAAGTTTTGATCGGCTTACATCTTCACAACTAAAACGACTACGGAGGATTAAAGAAAGAATGTACAAAGAGAAGAACTCAAATGAAGTTCGTAAGCTAAATGGTCCGATAAACCTAGAGATTAGACGTCTCAACTGCATGTTTACTCAAAAACTCTTATCTTGCAAAAACTCTACAAGTATGTGGAAATTCTTTAAAGAACTTACAGGTGACAGAAAGTTTAGAAGCGATAACCAGCTGAATGTTTGTGACTTAAATAAGTCTTTTGTACGTCAGTCATCTGATGTGATGCTCCCTCTATCCACGGGTTTAAAAAATAGCTGTGTTCATACGTTCACTGAAACTGATGTACGAGGATGTCTCCAGTCGCTTAATTCATCTCGATGTTTGGGTCCTGATGGTATCCCAAACCTCCTTTTTAAAAAATGTGCTGACGTTCTGTGTCATCCGTTCACAACTATTTTTAACAGATCTTTCTCATCTAATCTCATACCAAAAATGTGGAGAAAGATGAAGATAATTCCTGTACCCAAGAAAGCATCTGGTGATAAGAATGTAAAATTTAGACCTATTGCAATAACTTCACCTTTCCTCAAAACCATGGAAAAATTATTAATACTTCCACTTCAGCCTGCGATAAAAGAGCATACTGACCCATACCAGTTTGCATACAGGCGCAAAAGAAGCACTTTAGATGCTGTTGCAGTTCTGCATCACAACATAGTGTTCAACTTAGAAAAGGGTAAGAACTATGTTCGATGTGCTTTTCTAGACTATACTTCAGCTTTTGACTCTATACCAAGACAACGTTTACTTAACAAGTTAATCAGCGTCAACACTGACAGCTGGATAACCAACTGGCTGTGTTCCTACCTCTCTGGAAGGGAACAGTACACTGTGTTTGGAGGAAAGAGTTCAGATTCTCTACTGTCTCAGGAAGGTGTACCACAAGGAGCTGTTCTTTCACCTCTTCTATTCTCTTTTTTTCTGCATGACCTGCCATCTTCCACAGAAAACACTTTTGTGAAGTACGCGGATGATCTCACTGTATGTATGCCTATATCTTCCTCTTTACATCCCATAGAAATGAATGAGTTTTTGTCCCGTATTGATTGTTGGTCTGTTGGTAATGGTCTCATACTTAATCCATCTAAATGTCAAGCTGTTAACTTTAGTATGAGACATGAACGGAATATAAACACTATTTTGAGATCCCATAGTGCTTGTACCATCGGAGACTCTTTGATAAACGCGGTGTCGAAGGTCAATTATCTTGGTGTCACCTTTTCCTCTGATCTGTCTTGGTCTTCCCACGTTTTATCGTTATCAAAGAAGGTTTTCCGTCTGACCTACTACATAAAGAGATTGCATGCTCTTGGAATTACTCGTCATTTTCTCTTACAATTTGTCAATTCTTGCATATTACCTATTATTCTTTACTGTTCTCCATTATTCTTTCCCGGGCTTTTGAGAAAAGACTTTGCTGTATTGCGAAGAGTGCTAAAGGCAGTTAGTAAGACGTGTGGTGAATCTTTCGAGGTCATAATTAATATGGTTGTGGACAGACATTTAAAATCATGCAAACTCCTGGCAGGTGTTATTTTATCAGATACTAGCCATCCCCTTCACTCTTATCTTTCTCCTTGTATATCTTCTGGTAGAACGAGACGTAATTACATTAAAATCCTTGCACGCAAGGAAAAGTATAAAAGTTCTATAATACCTTACCTATCAAATATACTCTGTGACGAACAGGTTGTT